GAAATAGAGAAGAACCAGTCCATCTCATCCCACTGAATAGCCCAACGTTTCCACACCCTAAGAACATAAACCACCAAAATTACCTTGACCAGCTAGGTATGCCGTTTCCTTCAACCTCAGTGCTGTCATGTGGGGTACCTTTGCTGTGAACTCGTGCAAGGAGAAACGCATTGCTTGGTAAGCATTTATATGTAAATCAGATTGATTTCATTTTTCTATTAATCACTGATACGATTTACTTCAATGTTTTACATCACAGTGTAGTTTTTCTTCGTTTTTTGTTTTGTTTTGTTCTCTTTTGTGATTCTTATTTGTTTTGTCGAAATAGTTTACTTTAGATTCCGAAAATGATACACATCAAGAGCAAGAAATGATTTGTGTTGGTGGCACATTGCCTAATATGAGATAAGATATGATTGCCTTCACTCATTCCTTGGTCAATATATTTAAATGCATTGGTGCCAAACATCCTTAGAACACCATCATAATCAGTATTATCAATTTTAAACCATGCTTATTTTGTGCAAGTCACTTCCTTGTTCGTTCCTCCCTGCCCATGCTAGTAAGAATGTGATGTAACGTGCACTTTAACGCAATTTAACCGTCATGGTTACGTTGAGAAATAGAAAGAGCGTGAAACGTATTACATAAGAAACGAAAGAAAGGAAGCTGATGGCATTATAGAGAAAAGGGGAACCTGGGCAGGTCATGTTCTCCCAACGAAAAATAGTATGTATGAGTGACGGTATGGACACCAAGAGACCGGAAATGTAGCTGCGAATGACAGAGGGTTGGGCAGCAGAAACGAACTTGAAGTTCGCAGGAATATGATTAAGCCAGCTAACACAAAAGAGGCTAAATCAGACATCCTTCAGGCAGATTTTTATCCTGTTGTGCTGGTGATAAACTAGGCAGAAAATGTAGAAGTTCATGACTGTTTTGATGATTGTGCCCATATGAAATCATCATTAGTTGTTATTTACCTTCTTTTCAAGTGGGAATTCTGCAATCTCAATATGAAATTATGTAAACGCAGCAAACGCGTCCCGCACACTCAGGCGCTTCACAGCCACTGTGCGTGACTGAAAGCTGTCGAGCCTATCGTCCATGGTGCAGCTGTACTTCCGCGAGTACACAAGGACGACCAATGGCTGGCTGAATGGCGTCGAGGTGGTAAGTTCCTGTCAATATTCACGAGGTTTCCGTAGCGCAAGCAGAGAGGCAGGAGAGGTTTAGAGGAAAAGAAGAGGAGACTAGCTTTGATGACCTCAGACTTTTGGCCGGATTTTACAGCCGGTTGTTCAATGCAGTGTCCCCAAAAAATCATACTGCCACCTTAGAACTTCGGATAAGTGGTGCGCATGTAACAGGAGGTCCCATTGTATCGTCTTTGGTAAACCCCCACGGTGAAGTGCACGGATTGAGGCGTTGTTCATCGCCTTAAACCATTCGCTTCCCGCTGCCCCCATAACTTCGAAAAGGAGGAATATTCAAGACCAGCGGACACGCCATGCAACATATGTCCACGCCCTTTGGTGCAGATCACTGTAACCACACGTAATTTTTCATGTAGAAAATTCCTGTATTAGTAAATATTGTGTTAGGTAAAATTCTAGTGACAAAATAACACGATTAGTAATTAAATATATACACTAGCCATGTGGCACATCATCTGCAGCCTGTAACATCGAGCAACAGCATCAATGCCACCACTGTGGCTACATAATCGGGGACTACTGCCCCGTTAGCACATCTTAAATTGTAAAATAGCTTTTTTTTTTTCAAAAATATGCAGTACTACCCAAATTATAAACCGATATTTGAGGAAGCCGGAACTATCCAGCACGAAAAAAAGTCTCAGAGCATTGAATATTTCAAATGCGTCAGTGCTTAATTAAAAGAAAAACAACAATTCAAAAGCACGCCAGTGGTGGTGTTAAGGGCCGAAGTGTTTTATTAGAGCGGATCACGGTGATATTAACTGGAAATAAGTGCCTCGTGAGAGCGTCATGTCTGACCCACGAGATTAGTAAAAAAAAAAAGTACAGGGGAAAAATGCTATGCATAGTCCATGGTTAGAAGTCTGCGTAGAATGTAGTGGGAAAAAAAACGAAAAAAATACTTAGATACTATGGTTCTCTTATTTTTTTTCAGAAACGCACAGTAAGTGGTGTCGAAGTAAATACCTATGGGCTTCTTATGAAATAGTTTTATTGCCTCTATTTTGTTCCATTGTCGTAGCTGTTCCCAACCACATATTGTTTTAACATCGGAATGTTGCACTGAAAACTTCAACAGAAAGGAAATATTCGCAACCACCCGCTAGTAGTACAATGCTACAGCTAAATCCTAGAAGTGGCTCCTACAAAAAAAAGTCTATGCAAGAAAAATTCTTGGAATACGTGGTTGTAACTTTTACATTTACAGCAAACAAAAAACTGTATTTCCTAAAAAAAACTGGGACATGCCACACCAGATGTAAAACTAACTGCTTACAAAACATTAATACGTCCTGCCTTAGAGTACGCTAGTATTGTATGGTCGCCTCTCCAGAAGGTGTTGTGGACAAAAATTGAAAGAATACAAAAATTAGCAGTTCGTTTCATATGCGGTAGATAGCGACGCACACACTTAGTCACTGCTTTGTTAAAGTCCTGTGAGCTTGAGTCTTTGGAATATCGCAGGCGAAAACATCGCCTCAAATTTCTTTTTAAGATTATAAGCGGGCAAACAAAGATAAATAAGGATTTATATATTCAGCCCTCTGGAAGGCGATGTGATCGTCTTAATAATAGTAGAGCAATTCAACCTTATTTCGCACGCACGAATGCTTTCCGCCACTCCTTTTTCCTAGACACAATAGATATGTGGAATAGTTTACCCAATGCAGTTGTGCAACAAACAACATCAGTGGATTTTGAAAATGCATTGGACGGTTTTCTTTGTAGTGATGCGTGCTAAATTCTGTTGTCAGCATTTATTCGTTGATTTGTGTGTGTGTAGTCACTGTTGTTTGTTTCTCGTGATTTATTGTTGGTTATTCATCTCGTATTTATATGTGCTTTTGAATTCTCCTTTTTTGTGTGAACGTTATGTAATTTGTGACACCCTCCCTGTAACGACCCCAAGCACGGGGTTGACAGTATCAAATAAATGAAATAAAAACAAAATAAATAAAATGTATCTTTGCGTAAAAGTTAGTTAGAAATTGGCTTGCAAAAATTAACAAAAAAAGAAGCTGAGTTACGTAACGGGCAGCAATAATAAGCGTTCTAAAAAGGAGAAGACACTGGTATCTGTTGAGCTACGTTCGATTCTGATGCGAATTTTACGCAGAAATGCTATTGGGAAACGATGAGCACGTGTAAGTGGGCGTCTGGACAAAGCCTTCGGTAACAATTGGCCTCAATGGTTTTGCGCAGGTGATCGGCGCCATCCTCTGGGCAATGTACCACTTCCTGGGCGCAACGATGCCGAGCGAGCAGTTCTTACACACCGTCGCGTGCGTTTTCACGACAAACGGAGTTTTCTTCCTCGTGTCATCGACAATGAGCGTCACGACGGCCCTCACGCTCCCCCGGTTGTTTTACGTAAGTACGCCTTCTCGTGCATATTCATTAAAAGAACTAACCAAATAGAAAAGGCCCAAAATCTGATGGTGCTGTATGCAGCCTATGCATAGTGCAGTCCACGTGCTCGCGTGTTCCCTTTCATTAAGAACGACAGTGCACACAGATTTTAGGCTAATGCAATATTGTCTAGGTCAGAACCTTTCTAAATATTGAATTGACTACAGTGACTGAGTTTGGTTTCCCAAGGTGTACTGTAAGCAACTTCCTTTAGATCCTCTAAAGTTAATACCAGATGAAAGCCCATAATATTAAGATTCTTGGTCTGCTATGATTGCGGTTAACGCTAATGCAGTTGCGCCACGCATACGTGTAAGTAAAATTTTCGAAAGGGAACTTCACTTACAGTGCTGGGTAATTTAGAGAAAGGTGATTGTTCAAAATATTTTCGGAGTTGTATTATGGCTATGTGTATCGACAAATTGCCTTAACAGTTTTGATTTGCATGGCGTGACAAAAGCGCAGAGTCGCAACATGCGTCCCACCATTAGTCGCGTAAGTAATAGGTGGTTTAGTGCTTCAGACTGATTTAAACAACAGCTCTGCTATTATATTACAACATGCTCATCATCATCGGCCAAGGCAACAACAAAATCAGAGTCTATATTAGTGATCGTGTTTCCTCAAAACAGCGTAGCAGGGGATTTGTGACATATATCAAAAGGATGCATTATGGCACAGTCCATGGGTGCGTCGCAACTGTGGTTGTAGTAGGCACCTGAAGAAAGTTTACAGAGGTTTCTATGAAGGCAGGTCTTTCTTTTGCTTTGCATTGCGTGCTGTGTGCCAGCCCAGCCTTTATTATTATTATTATTATTATTATTATTATTATTATTATTATTATTATTATTATTATTATTATTATTATTATTATTATTATTATTATTATTATTATTATTATTATTATTATTATTAGTGCAAGGCATCATGAATACTAAAATAAAGTTGCTGAAAGAACCACTGAGGTAGTTATTCTTTTGTGCGCTGAGCGGGATCTATGATGAGTATATCTGATACATGCCTGACTTCTTGATTTGGCTCCTTTTGTCAGTCCGCGAGGGCTGTGAAACGGTGTAAACATATTTGAGTTTAAGCATGTACGTTTCCTTCGCTAAGAAGTGGTTTCATTCATTATATAATTTTCGCGAGTCATTACTTTGTTTTTATTTACGCTCGTATAAAAAGTGTGTATGCATGCGCTTTCAATTTTCATTGCTTTATGTGGCGTATTGCATTTAATTCAAGTACGAAAAGTTGCTGCCTAAATTGCAGTGTATACCTACTCCATACTCTATTTTTGTGTTGCCCAACAATGATTATTACTTATTCGCATGCTTATAGCTCGCAGAAACTAACTTCATTTCTTTCCAGTACAACTTCATTCAATTCGTCGCAGCAGCGTGTTACATTATTGGTGGAATATGCAACGTCGGGAACTCATCTCTCATCGATGGCGTAAGTTGTACAAAATTTCACTAGAATTCGAAAACTCAAGTGCACACCATTAGGCAAAAGTTTATGGGCCACAGAAATAGGAGAAAGTAGTGCTGTCGAAAGTCTTACTCTGACAGAATTTGTCAATGAAATGACGTCAGAGACCGCTCGCCACTAGACGGCGCAGATCGCTAAGGTATACAGACTGCAATGGTTATTATACTCTTCATCTCGTTTGTACATACTTTCTTTCTAATAATAGTAAGGACAACGTACGCCTGAGTTAATTGAATTTCCGATTGAATAGTACAGGCGCTAAACATTTTAGGGTTAAATTCCCACGACTTCGGGACATCTGCACATGGCGCCATCTCTGTGTGGCTGCAACAGTGTCTTATCAAACAAAATATGAAATAAGCTAAAAAATCAAATCTGTTAAAAAAGGTAGTTATAATAAATTGCTTCATGTTCGATACAGCAGAGGCCTAATGGAACATTTTGCTGAAAGTGCGATAGAGCACTGCAAAGAGAGTGGCTTCCCTGGTCAATCGAACATCGCTCATTTCAAGTACATGGCGACCCACGATAAATATTGAACACTCTGGAAAGTCACGTATTTATGTTCATATACGTTTTTGCTATATAGAGCAGGGAGTCGTTTTTCAGAAATTTTTTTGTCATATATGCTTTTCGTTGGCTATTTTCTATTCAGTTAAGGCAGGCCAGTGCTATCGGCGATGAAAGATTGCGTTATGTGCGCATGTCCCCAAATCCTACTCAAATACTTGTCGACAGTGAGTGGTTCTATGTCTCGATAAATTTCATACGAAAATTTTACCCCTCATCTAGGCTTACCGCTTACGGTGTTCCGCGGCTAAGCTCGAAAACAGTGGGTTGAATGCCCAGCCAAAGCGGTATATTTCGATGTTTCTGAAATGCTAAAGAATCTCTGTACATATGCACCTTTTTTGCGAGCCCGAGAGGTCGAATATATTGTGTGAATCTCTGCTCATCGTGGCTTATCAACACAAATCGTTGTTCAGGCGTGTTAGAATTGTGAATTCGATTTCAAATGTTCTTTTCTCTGCGACGTACTGGTTCACCTATATGTAACATAACTCGTAACCATTATTTCGTATAAAGTGCAACGTTGACAGATATGAAGCTCACGAATTGCCATATATAAAGAAATATCCGGTCCCTGGTATTCTACGTTTCGGTATTTGTGCCGCCGTGTTCAATACAGCTTGGAAGTTTTGTATTTTTAACAGCTAAACAAACATTGCTTTATGTATGCGGAAAACGTATATGCATGAAATCGGTGGAATTGGTGCATTCCACGTTTCATTACCTGATCGGTGCACTTCGCACTATACCTAAAACCAAGAAAACATTCATGATAAAATACCAAGGTGGCAGCAACCATCCGTCTGTATACGTGAAAAGACTCATTCGCCTAGCAAGCATTCCAGTTCACAAAGCATGTTTGTGCTTCAAGTTTTTTGCGGCTAACTTAATTTGACTTTTTTTTCTTGTCCTTCAGGTTACCGCAATTATCTGTGGAGGCGTTCACCTCGTACATCTTATTCACTCAATTCTCAAGAACTGAGAACGATTGGAGGCCTCCATCAGCGCCATGTGGCTTACACGTATGGTTGTATATACTCTAGAAAATGAGCATAGCTTATCCACTGAGGACCTGTGTTGTGACGAAATAAAATTGGTACCGGTAGCACACCAAGCAGTGTCATGACGTAGATACCACGAATATACATAGCGCCTAGGATTACCTGAAGTCGGTTTCAATTGCAGTCGTGCCTTTGACGTACGAGTGGACACTACGGTTGATCCAAGTAGTCCGTCTATGCCCATGCATCCATAGACGTATTTGTCTTTTATGACGACGTATTCAGTAGCTGAAACGTAACCATGTGATTACCATTTTGCGTCCCACTATGGTAGCAATGAGATCTCAGTATGTTACTCCGTTTTCAGTGTGTCCGATTGAAAGCGCTTCGAATAGGCATTATACATAAAATAATCAGTCAAAACTGTTTTGATGGGATGAAGACTGCATGACCAATCTACTACCCAATAATATTAGCGGCAAAGCTTCTTAGGCCGTGGGTCGTTTTTTTCCTCCGTATGTAGCAGGTAGCCGCCTCTTTATGACTTGCTCATTAGATGGCTTTGTGTGTATATGTCCTTGGGAATAATACAACTAAACGACGTTAGTGGTGTTCACAGTATATCCACGGAGTGAATGATGATGAGTGGGGCGAAGCATCCATCCGTCCATCCATGTGTCCAACCGTCCGTGCGTCCGTTCCACTTGCCCGTCCATCTGTCCGCCTGTTGGTCCGTCCGCCCATGTTGGTCCGTGCATCCGTCCATCTGTCTGTCCGTGCTTCTCTTCATCTGTTCCTCCGTGCTTCTGTTCATCTGTTCCTCCGTGCGTACGTCGGTCTATTCGTCCATGCTTCCGTTCATCCATGCGTCCATCCGTCCGTGCTTCCGTCCTTGAGTCCATCCGTGCGCCCGTCCGTTCGTTCTTTCTTCCAACCGTGCCCTCGTCCATGCGTCCATCAGTCCGTCAATGCGTCTGTTCCTCTCTCCGTCCGTCCATCTGGACGCACGGGCAGATATACGGACTGACATCCATCCGTGGTTGCTTTTTTCTCTCTCATGTGCCCTGTTGAACAATGTCAAGGCTCAAAGATTACCTGAGCTCTATACGACATGAAATGCCACTTGTGAAAATATGGTCGTGTTAGCTTGCAGCAATTGAACAAGCCTACAGCACTCGTCCGCAGTCAGTCTCTGTCTTTAAAAAAAATTGCCTTTCCTCAATTTGAGAACGTGTTACTTCATTTTGAAACAAAGAACGCTTGCACATTATTATTGTGAATGTAATAAAGTATCGCCAAGTGCTCAGTAGGCTCTTAGTCAGTTTCGAAACATCCCTAAAAGATTGTATTAGAGATATCTGAGAGATTCTCTACAATCTAATAGAGAATCTCAAAGATTCTCTACAAGGGCACGCTGCAAGCACCTTGCTCGTTTTATATGTTTGCACAATAGGCATCTACTGGCACTGCTCGAAATGTAGTGACAGGGCAATTATTCATCCGTAATGATGGGGAAAGTAGACAGCCCACCAACCATCCACAGATAAACTTTTTAAAAAGAAAAGCCTGGTGAACATGACTTATATGTTAACCATTTCATTCGGTACGTCGACTAATAAGCAAGGATTTGTTTCAATTGGAACGATCCTGAAATCAATAAAAAGAGTACGCAACTTGCAGCAAATTAAGAATCTAGGAAGTGTGGCTGGCATTTCTTTTTAATTTGAAGCTGAGTGCATAAATTAACTTTAGTACGACACAAAGTGCGAAAGTCTGGAAGGAGCATCACCAATTGGAAAGGCGATGCAAATTCGTTCAGAGTACGCTATCGCGTGAAGTAACTGATACTCTAATTAATGAGTTCAACCTTTCTGCAAGTTTTTGATGCAGTGCACATCTACGGAGGCAACATGCGTGAATGCCTGTTCCTGATTTTTTTTTATACCAACATAGCAAGCTATGAAGTTATTGGTGTTTTTGGGCGTGCTTATAGAGATCAACGAACACTTTCACGCTCAACAGAAACCTTGTGGGCTCATTTAAGTGAGGCTCATTTAAGGTGACGACAAACCACCAATTCAACTAGAATCATGAGTGTGTGTAGAGCAGTCACATGACACATATGTTTGGCGTCTAAAGTAGAAACAATGACTGAAACTAATTTAACTGTGGAAATTTTCACGGCATCCACCAACCAACGAATTTCATCCTACTTAAAAAAGACAGGCTAAAAATACAAACGGGTCGCACTAGTAGCGCGAAATTGAGTGTGAAATACTGATCGATGTACGATAGAAAAGAATTGATCACCAAGGCTTTTTCCCACTAGCAAAGTGAGACACGATGGAAGAAGTGAATGAGAGCAGAAATTTTAAAAAAAATCGTAATATAACAAAGAAAACATAGAAATGTTTTGTAGAGCTTAAAAAGAGGTGTTTCGAAGCTGGGCTGCTATAGAAAGAAAAAGTAATACCTTCATCTCCTCGGACGTCTGAAGATTTCAGTCGTCCGTCTGTATCCTTTACTATGAGTCACATTTTAGATATCCAGGAGCCAGCCTCTGAATGCGTACTTTCTTAAAATTAGGCACAGAAGTATATTGCCAGCAAATGGGTATACTCTTTTATGGGTTTGTATATCAAATGAATTGTCAGTAACTTCTTATAAGTCTATTACCGAACGTAAGAATTGATACTATACCTCAATTATTCCAAGTAACTGAATTCGAGCGAAATCCTACGCACGCAATGGTTGCGAATTTGACTTTGTTTTAGTGTCAACGCACTGTTGTTGCTTGTATAATAAAAAAAACGAGTCGAGAAAAAAGCGAAATGGAATAGTTTTTGAGGGGCTTGATATGTTTTATACAGAACCGAATGAATCTACCCCAAAAATAGTCCAAAGAAGGCCGAGGTGAAATAATACTGTTATTGTGTAACGATAATGCTGTAGTCATGAATATAATCAATATGAATTCAAGTGATGAAAGAATTACCTTTTTCCCTAATGCAAAAGGTGCGGGTGCGAATCACGTCGAAGAAAGGGCAATTGCCATCCACTTTCATTATTTTCAATCTACGCCATGATCACTGCACTATGGTGAAAAGAAGACAAGCGATGTCCTCTATGCTTATCTTGGCCCGACTGCCTGCTCTCCAAAATATGAAAAAGTGACAGCAAAAAAAAAACACACACAAACACGCACACACACGCACATGCACACAAACGTGGGCTCACGAGTGCATGCATGAACTAAAACATTAAATATATGTTGCATGTTTTTCTAGCTTTGAAAGTTTAAAACCAATAGTCACCATAAACAAACGTAAAATATTGAAGGCCTGATGAAAACCCCATGGAAAACATTATTTGCCGTGTATAGTTTCCCTGTTCCTGTTGCGTTCACGAGCGTTACCATTTCTGAGACGTATCGAAAAGAAGAGGGAACCTTGTTGTTCCTGAATTCAAGACGCCAAATAATGGGTCTGCCAGATGGAGGCAACGTGGAAGTTCAACCACAACATCTTTTCCCGCACTCGTGTCGCATAACGTCATTGATCAGAATGACAAGCGGTCTATAGCTTCCGTATTTCTGTCCGGATAGGGTTTTGTCGTCGTGTTCCAAATATAGAACTGCTCGACGACAGCGGCTATGGCATCAAAGCCATGGCTCTTGGTCCCAACAGCTGTCGACTGCGTTTTTTAGATACTCACTGCAACATCAACAAACCTTGATTGTTGCTAGGGAGACGAATAAAAGAACTGCGGAATAACCTCATGATAAAATAACTGTAGAATTCACGTTTTAGCTTGATCAATTTTAACTTTCTAAAAAAAGGTGGTATGACGGAACCTTGTAGGTGTTACATAAACAAAATTTGTGTTTATAGCAATTGATGACAGCATATGAAGATTGTATTTTGTACTGTTTTTAGAACCAAGCTGAAACGGGCAAGTAAAGAGAAAAACGACACATAAAATATATCCACCTGAGCATTGAAGCAATAGTGCTATACATACAACTATTATAACAACTGTCGCACTGGTCATGTTAGTTTTGCCATTGTCTACTTTGTCCAAATAATGGTGTGAAGCAGCGCAATTGAAAATACTTTTGTAATTTTATTTCGAGCTACACGTGAAGAGCACTCGGGCGTACGCCACTGATGTCACAATTCATTAACTCTGTCGTTATATCAGTTTGCATTTTATTGCTACCAAAAACCGACCGACTCTTACATTTAGCAGAGTATATGTAAGCAGGAAACGGTAACCGCGATGTGGAAATATTTCGAGACAATGCTTGTCAATACTAGAATGGTGTATGATTCATGTGTTCAGGCGCTTTCTAAGACTGTGAGAGCAGGCTGTCTTGTATTGCGTAAATGAGCAGCCGTCAAACTATTGAGGTTTTGTTCACTCTTTTATGGGCCTTTTAAACAGCATTTCTCTCACTTCTCACTTTCTTTTTTTCTTGTGTTCATTCTTTTACAAGCTTTTCTATACATTTTTCTATATATTTCTTCCCCTTACTATAGCATACAGTAACAAAGTTTAAGTTAGAGTTAACCTTTCTGCACTTCGTTCCCTCACACACTCGCTCTAAGTCTCGTATAGTAGAATGATTTTTATTGCTTTCGTGGAGCATGAGCTGTCAGTATGGAATTCCAATACCATTTCTTGTGTGAGAGACAGATCACGAAGTCTAGGAAAGGCACAGATAGACTGGGCCTATTTGTCACAGCAGGCACAGTGACACATGAGGTGATCGATGGTGCATTCACACACACAAATATATCGACCTTTGTGCACGTTGGTTGGTTCTGCGCCTCTTCCTGTCTGCCTTTCCCCTTCTCTCCTTCGTGCTTGCGCAGCACGCCACCAGTTCTACATAGATAGCGCAATGGGTTGTACACTTCCGCCGCGCACATGTGCGCTACATCATAGCGAATCTGGCTCATCCTGGTAACAAAAAATAAAAAATGGCACATAAAAAATATACAAATCACTCTTGCATGCCAAGACTTTTCATTGTTAAAAAGAACATTGCGCCTTATAAACTCGGCATCTGAGCCCCAGCCCTATTACGGACATAACGAGAGGCGATTCTATA